ATAACAAGAGCATTAATTGAGCAGTGAAGAGAACTTTCATTCTTGGCCAAGAATAAAAGTGAGAGATACATTGCCAAATCAACTTCTCAATCCCTAGGGGTTCAAGAGGGTAGATGCATAGTATAAGTGTAAAAGAAATGGAAGGAGGGGCTGGGAAGGTGGCTCAGTGGTAGAGCGCTTGCCTTGTATGCATGAGGCCCTGAGTTCGATTCCTCAGCACCACATAAGCAAAATGAAAAAAGCCGGAAGTGGCGCTTTGGCTCATGTGGTAGAGCGCTAGCCTTGAGCTGAATAGCTGAGGGACAGCGCCCAGGCCCAGAGTTCAGGCCCCATGACCGGACCAAAAAAAAAAAAAAAGAAATGGAAGGAGTAGCTTATAAATGGGAATGATAGCCATAACTTTTCTGGGAGTGGCAGAGTTTTTCTGGGAATTTGGGCATTTCCTCTTTTTCTTCCTTTTATGCTGTGTTATTAGCATGCAGATGGCATTATAATGAAGTTAGAGGTTGTCTGGTGGTTATTCTGGTTGTCTAGTGGCCATCTTGGGTGAGTTTTGATGAGTTCATCTGGAGAGTAACTTCTAGCCTTCAGGCATACTGTTCTTGAAGATTATGGGGGTAAACATTTATCTAGGTCTTCTAAAAAATAACTGATTGGTTATCTTCAGGCTACCTTAGGTTACCTATTTTTGTGCAAGAAAGAGGGCAAAGAGAACTTTCTTGCCATGAAACTGGACTGTTTGGGAAATGTGGCTTTCATCTCTGTAATCTGGATGGCTTATAGGGTCAAATAACAGCTTAGTTTCAGCTTGGCAATATGTCAATTTCCTGTGAGCAACTCCATTTTGAATTTTGTAGCCTGGTATTTTGGGGTCAAGTGCAGAAGCTTACCCTAAACACTGGACTGCTACAATTTTCACTTAAGAACAGCATATATACTTTCCTTGAATTTGTTGTGTGGGAAAGTTTCCTGAATCAAAGGAATGGCTGTTGCCATTATGTCAGCTGATGAACGTAGACCTAAGACAACTAGAGGAACACCAGGGGCTGCTCCACAGCCTCAGATTCGTAATGAATGGCAGGGAATACAAGTGTATTGCTTTACTGTAAGCAAAGAAAAAATAATTCTCTGCAACAAAGTTTTCTAAAAAAGAAAAGTGAGCAGAATTAGAGTGTCCAGAGACTACTGAGAAAAGGCAGCCCCAGCCCAGCTGGGCCCCCAGGTTCACACACAAGGGTCAACAAACTATCTGTAGGTGAGGGAGGTCTGGCAGTTACATCTCTTGCAGGAGAAAACTATAAAGGAAACTTTTCAGGGAGGTTAGAAATTTCCAGGTAGTGGTATGAAAAGCCTTTTCTATTTTTTTTATTATTTTTTTAATGTGGTAATGAGAAATCGAACCCAAGGCCTTATGCATGCTAGGCAAGCACTCTACCACTAAGCCACATTCCCAGCCCCAATATATATATATATATATATATATATATATATATATTCCTTTTTTTTGTTGGTTGTGCTGACCCTGAGCTCTTGTGCTCAAGGTTAGTGCTCTACCACTAGAGCCACACAGCCACTTCCATGAAAGCCTTTTCTGTTGTTTCATAGGTATGTCTTATCCTATTTCAGAGTATTATGTACACACATATGCATGTGCACATGTACATACACACACACAGCACAGCTGAAGTTCAGTGGGACTGAACTTCCTGGTGACTAATTGCTTCTGGGAAGAAAAGAGAAGTACATGTTTCCGGTGAGTTCTGCCTTATGAGGTTAAAATGAGAGGAACTTGGCAAACTTCCCAAGACATCTATGGTACATGCTGATTTAAAAAAAGGAGAATAATCCTGACCAAAGTTATTGAAGTGAAAGTGAGCAGTCCTGATCCAGGGCATACTTCTTACATGGGGAAGGACTGACACAAATAACAAAACACCACTAATTTTGTCCTAATATCAGGCCAGTTAAACAATCTCTCTATATAATATATCTATGATATCTATGATATATCTTATATATGATATTATATATTGTCTTATATATTGTATATTTTATTGTATATATTGCACATATAATATATAATATGTTAACATTATATATAATACTATATATAATTTAGGACATTTAGGAATCCATATGGTATGGTTTGGACTTTTTATGGTTATTATTATTTTCCCCCATTTGCTTAAGATAGCTAAACAATTTTGTTCAAGTTGAGATGAGAAAATCTTTGGTGTTTCTTCCCCAGTTAAATTATTAGTAAACATCTGGTAAGCAGTTAACTCCAAAGGTGTTCAGTTGGGAAAAGAAATCCCAACAAGGAAACTTTGTAATAAATTGATGTGTCCTTCTAGTGACTCAGTTTATTTTTAAATTAAAAATCTACTCAGCATTCAAGAAACTTAAGGACACTTAAATTTAGAATATCATGACTTCTTTCTCCTGTCCTGAAATGTATAAACATGAACATATTTAAGGTTTCTTGGTCTTACTCAGTAACAGACACTTTCAATATCAATTATCTAGTCACTATCTAATCAAATTTCTAGCTGAATTGAGCTAATATGCTAAGAAAAGTGAACTAGAAATTATCTTATATTAAGGTAGTATTAGCTGCTATCACATATAACATCCTAAACATCAATAGTACAACATGACTTAAATATATTCTCCATTCAGGTAGTGTCAGCACAAAAAGGAGAATAAAAGAAGCACCACTCTACTCAATTCCCTTGAGAGCCAAGTTGAGAAAAGTGATGCTATGTCAAAAGCATCACTTCCAGTACTGGAAGGGCATAATGGCCCAGCCAAGAGTTGTGATAGTGAAAATAAAGAACCATGCAATAATATGTTTTAGCATAGATGTTGTACATCACTATGTACAGACCTCAGTCACATGGTCTAAATTACATGCAAGCATTTCTGAGTATGTCTTCCCTGGCTGAGAAGCCACTTCCCGGTCTCACAGACATGAGCAGATTCTTTGGTGAACAACCAACGGGCTCTTGGGTCACAAATATCATTTACTCTATGCATTCTATCCATCCACCACAACCCTTGAAATAGTGCCTCATATGATCAAATTGAGCTCAATACCACCAAAGCCTGGAGACCCTAATTTGCTTTGGTCTGTATTACATTTAGTTTAGAGTACTACTAGAGAGTTGGGAGATGTCACCTCCCAAGGGAATGTGACAAAGATGAATGAAGGTACACCTGCCTGGCTCAGGCTCAAACCACAATATTTCTTCCTGTTTCTGGTGCTTGTTCACCCCGGGAGGTGTACTGAATGTGGGAGGATTTTATGAAGGAGAAGGGAATTCCTCTGCTCTCACTGAGAGATGGACACATTAATGTGCAAAATGCTTGAGGAAAATCTGAGAAGCAGCTCCAGGCATCACGGTTTGCTATGGGACTAGCCCCCAGCCATAATTTGACTTAGTAATCAATTCCTGACATCTTCTCCCCCCCCACCATGAATAGTTTGCTAATGATATAAAGACTGAATTCCACATGAAGAAAAAGTAAGACTCTGTAGAGACCTGTTCATTTACATAATGAATTGGCCTGCTCTGTGATCCCGTCTCTCAACATCTTTGCACATTTAGGCTGTTTTTCAGTAATGGAAATATAGAACATCATTTGATGTTATCTTATTTGGGTACTGTGAAAAACACAAGTATATTTCTTTTGCTTATAATAGTAACCACAGCTTTGTGAGACAGACTTTATTGTTATCATTTTAAAATGAGGAATCTTAACAAAGCTCAGATGCTCAATCAAGGTGAGTGATCACTTGAGTCTAAACCTATGTCCTTCTAAAATCTGTCCTCCTCATTCTGAGTATCTTGGCTTTCTAGAGTAAATTCTGAGCATGGACAAGACAAACACCAACCCCTGTATTCCTCCCTGGTAAGACATATCTAAGTAAGACTTCTCAGGATGCTCAGAGCCATGTGGCACATTCCCCTTGAGAGGCTCCTGTGTGCAGAAAGGTAAGAGAATACACATTCACTGAAAGGTGAGGATCCATCATCTCTGTGTGTATCCACATCATCTGTGGCCACACCACTCCTTTTCAGCCATGCCAAAGATAAGCTATTAGTGTCTTGGACCCCTATAGGTATGTTATGCTTTGAATATGAAATATCCTTCATCAGTACCCTATTTCCACCAAGTGGTACAATTTTGGGAGGTTGTGGAAACAGGAGGTAGAGCCTAGCTAGAGGAAATAGGTTGCTGGGGGTCCTGTCCTGGAAAGTTATACCTGTCTCCCCCACATTCCTGTTGCTCTCTCTCTGCTTGCTAAGGTGGGTTTCTTTGCTCCCGCATATGCTTCCTGCCTCAATATTGCTTCAGAAGGCAACAAAGCCAAGGAAACATGGACTGTAATTTCTGAAACTGTGAACCAATGGAAATCTTACTTTATTTAAGTTGTATCTCAGGTATTTTGTCATAGCAGCAGAGGACTAACTGACCCAAAGTGTTACTGTCATCATCAATACACTTCTTCTCGTCATCTCACATAACTGTGTGTATCTTATGTCCCTCCAGAGATTTTATAAGAGCAGCATTGATGTAGAGGAACCAATTGTCACCAAGACATCCTTTCTTGCCAAACCACAGAAAAAGTTCAAGGTAATTGCTACAGCCAAGAAGCCATGACATTTAATATGCTCTCTGGTGAAACATTTCTGTGTGTCTCTAAAGACTTCATACAGAGTATTTTAGTATTGTAGATAATAGCCAAGAAAAGCACACTATGTCTTCCTTTACATATTTAGTGGAGTACTTAATATTGTAAGACCAACAATCCCACATGTCTTACCCACTGTCATATTCAATCTTCACATAGATCCCACAAAGACTATAATGTGACTAGTTCCATTGCACAGAACAAAAAAGTAAATAAATTAAGAATCAGATTAAGTAAGCACATAGCAAATGACAGCAGAACCTGAGCCCAGGTTTGTCTCCTTCTTTTTTCTGTCTCAGCTCACCTAGCGTTCTTAAAACCCCCTGCAAGGCAAGTCAACCAGAAGGAATCCCTGGCGTGGAGCAGGAAGACTGTACAGTGTTAAAATTGAGGGCTGCTATAGTTGTAGTTTCAAGAAGGGGAACACAGTGTTCTGAAATTGCACAAGGTCTGTAAACAGAACAAACTGAATGTCTCAGAATTAATGCTAATCCCTTGCTGGAGATTAATTTCAGCAAAAGCCTTTTGTGCAGTATTTCAGGCAGTAGCTTGGCCTGTGAAATACTGAAAGTGGGAAGAGCAATGGTTTTTTCATGCATTTAAGGTGTTTTATGTCTTCCTAAATAGTTTCCATGCTTATATTAGCATTTTTTATTTTTGCACAGAGGATTTTTTTTATTGTGATTCACAGTTACAGGTGGTGAAATAGGCCCTCATACATTTTTAGAACCTCCTCTTTTTCTGCCTTCATCCTCCTACACCTTCTCTCTCTCTCTTTTTGTATATTTTATTATTATAAAGGTGATGTGCAGAGAGGTTACAATGACATAGATCAGGTAAAGAATACATTTCTTTTTGGACAATGTCATCCTTTCCCTTGCTTTTAAATACTCACTGAGCTAGTTAAGAATTCCAAGGAAGCCTGAAACTTGTTGATAAAGGTAATTTTATGTTTGATAAGATGATCTTTGTTCTTCCTAGGGGATCCCCAGGCCATCTGTTTAAAATGTGCAATGGATTACACAGGCAGCAGTGGGGCGGACATTTGCCTGCATGTCTCTTCCAATGTAATAGCTAAATAAAACTGGAGGACAAAAATCATTAAGTGAAGTAAGTAAAGCTCCGAGAGATTGAAGGTCACATGTTTTCTTTCCTACGTGGAAATTAGAACTAAATTATAAATACATATAGAAACATACAGAATCATATGCATATATATGAAAAGGTACCAACTCACATATGGGAGATGGAGGGGAGGATTCCAGTGGTGTAAATCCTTTGAACAATTATCTTACAGTTTAACAAAATGAATACTAGAAAATCTGGGACTTAATGGTGTCAGGGGGAGGAGGGAGATGGGCTTTGAACAAGAAGGGGAAGGTAGATGGAGTGAGAGAGTAGTGGTGGGTAAATGCAGTCATAATACTAAATATACACATATGTGCAAAAGGAACTAGGAAAATTGACTCCGATGGGGAGAAAGAAGGGATGACTTTGATCAAGATGCATTGCACTCACAAACTGATATGTTGTTTTGAAACTATTTATACAACTACTTAAAGATAATAAATAAACAAACCAACGTCATGAACTCCCTAGCAGTGTGTGTACTTCTTCAAATAAAAATGTGTGCAAAAGGGCATACATATTTTAAAATATTTTACAGATAACAAGGATTTAAAACTTATAGATGAAAATCAGTTAAGATGGGCCCTGTTTGCAGCTTGTCAGGTGTATTTTATTTAATCTTGACAACCCCATGGGAGTTGGTGAATAAAATGGTTCTGATTGCTATGGTACAGATGAGGAATAGGTTCGTTATGCCATTTTCATAACCACATACAATATTCTTAGGTCATTTTCACCTTCCCTCATCCTCCTCTTTCCTTCCTCCTTCCCGCTGCCCTACTGTGCGTCCCCATTTCCTCTGCTGCTATTTCTTCAGCCGCTCTAGCTGGTGATACAACACCACTCTGCTTATTCTTGGGATCTCAAAAATCTTCCTCAGGCTTATCATCTTTCAATTCTAGAAAGATTTTGGATATACCATAGACTTGGAAAATTCACCCAATCCTTTTTGTTTTAATTTTATTGTCAAGATGATGTACAGAGGGGTTCTAGTTACATATGTAAGGTAGCAAGTACATTTCTTGTCGAATACTGTTACTCCCTCCCTTGTTTTTCTCCCACTTTCCTCCCCTCACAATGCTTGCCCCAAGTTGTAAAGTTCATTTCCAATGTATTGTCCTGTGAGGATCGCTATTGCATTGGTTCACCCTTTGTCCTTTGTCTCACCATTTTGTTGTTCCCCTTCTCTTCCCTAATTCAGATAAACATTACCCAATTCTATTCCTAGTTATTCTTTTTTTTTTTTTT